AGGGAGTCCAGTCCTGGTCTTGATTACCAGCAGGGAGTCCAGTCCTGTTCTTTCGGACAGTTCCAACCATTGTGAGCCTTCTTTTTAGAAGCTCCTGACCCAAATTGTAGTTTGTGAAAAAATTGTCACGGTTATGTTGTGCCCCCTGAGACCCTGTGTCATGTCGAGTATGACCCTTTGCCCTGATTCTTCTCTGGGGCTCCTCCAACCAGCTTCCAGTGTAAACCTGCACGTTCTGTGCACAGCTATTGTTTGCATCCCATGCTGCCCAGACTGTTATCCCATATTAAGCTTCTGACACCTTTTAACCTCCAGTTTGACTGCTGGGTCAAATTGACCCAAACAGTATCTATGTGATACAAACATGGTGGTTGCAAATATGTGAGATGAACCATTTTTACATTATACGTTGATTACACTAAATAAGGCAAGCACAAGAAGTTTCATACTGAAAAAACACTCAACTATTTTTCCTAGATCTTGAAACTTTAAAACGAGTCGGTTTGACCCGTAACACAACAGGAGGGTTAAGAAAGTTTGATGTGGACTGCCAGGCTGCTGCCAATTTCAAAATTTGATTTCACAGTACCATGTGTGGGGGTTCACTCTCAGCTACCACTTCACCAAGCTGCAGCTGGACAACTCTAGAAATGTCCGAGTCATCACATTTTTTCCTTGAACTTTTTCATGACATTTAGATTTTCTAAATCCTTCTGAAGACTCACGTCTTCAGAAGGATGCTGTCCATCTCTTCCTCCTCAACAAGAAGCCTGTAATCTTCCAGTTTACACTGATCATTTGTACAACTCTTGGTTGTATCTAAATGTGTGCAGACATAAACGTAGCCTTTTCTTCAGAGGAACAGCAGCCATCTTTCCACACTGCATGTTACAAGCTAAACTAAAGTGCTGTTCACCTGTTCTCCAGCCGGGTGTAGAGCTGTGCGTTATCTGTGCGGAGGACAAAGACGATGTGGAACCAGCGTTCAGGAAACAGGTCACATCCGTGATAGTCAACGATCACACCACCTTCTTCCATGCTTTCATCCAGCTCATCCACCACCTGAAGGAACATTGTGCATGTTTACCATGTACCCAGCTGTATTCGATGAACATATACGACTGTTAACATGCAGTTTGGGGAGAAGAGGGGGTCTACATAAAAGAAAATGTTCATAAATTTTCGATGTTAGCCTATATCTATTAAGGTTTTAGGTTTAAAATAAGTAAAGATACAGACACCGATCAGCCATAAGATCATGACAACAAACAGAAGAAAGTAAAAACAGAACATTCCAACCTGGGCCTTCGAGTGGAAAAACTTTGGAACTGCCACTCTTCCACGAGGTTCTTTCAACTGTTTAATCTGAATTAAAAAAAATAAATCATAGACATGCAACACAACTACACTTTTTTCAAAATTAAAAGTAGAAAAACTATAAAATAGAAAAGAATACAATTGTTGGAGTCAGTCACAGTTGCTTTTTTTAGATAAAGGGAAAAATATGGATTCCCTGTGTAATTAGCAGTTCCACAACATAGTATAGCTGCATCAGATTAAAGCTGCTAACTTGTCTTCATTTGATGACAATAACATACAGAAAATCCAAAAAAGTTCAATCTGGTCCTCTGGACATTCAAAAAACAAAAAAACAAAGCAAAAAAATGTAGAAACGTTTCGTCTCTCATCCGAGAGACTTCCTCAGTCTGAGGTGCTGTTTTCAGCTCAGTCTCTTAAATAGCACCTTCTCAGAGTGGATCAACCAGTTTGCTGCTGACAACCAAAACCAGCTGATCACATGCTCAAGAAGGACCATCAGCCTAACAATGGATCATTAGCACACTGATGGCTGTTTACTGTTCACAGAGGGCTGAGTGATACTAGCAATCACAGCATTGTAAGAGGGGGACAGTTGAACCCGGAGGCTCCACCCCTGTTTAACGATGGACGATTTCTTTTCACAAAGATGGCCTCCTTTACTCCTCTCTCAAACCATCGTTCCTCTCTGTCCAGGATGTGAACATCTTCATCCCTGAAAGAGTGACCGCTGGCCTGGAGATGAGTGTAGACC